AGGCAATATTTTGAGACTAAAGCTAGAGACTGTTTAGTGAATAGTAACTAGTCACAAATTGAGATTTTACCACAAAATGKCTCAAATAGAGACTAGAGACTGGTTACAGAATCCCACTATTAATCTTTGGCGATGACAAGGCCGATGATGGTGCCGCCTGGCTGTCTGTATAAATCGAAAAAAAAGGATTCTAAAATAAAAGTGATTAAATGAAAGTATAAATTTTGGAAAATTCAAAACGTTTGGTTTAAAAGTAAATTTAGTAATTAATACCAAATTTTCTATTATTTTCATTATATTAATGTCAAGATGACGCTTCGTCTCTAAGGAAAATTATTCCAAGATCGTACGGCTGCCTTTTGGTATTTTGGAATCAAAAATTAACTACAAATGCTTAATTGGATTTAAATCCGGTGACTGAGCTGACCAGGTCAGTATGCGTTGATGGTTGTTATCTTATTGGAAGATAAACGACCCCAAGTTCATTTGTTCAGCATTTATTTTCAAATGTTCGCTAAGAAGGTTATCATATGAAGCAACCGTCATTCGTCCATCGATTTTAAGTACATTATCTATACCAAATTTTGAGAAACAGCACCAAACCATGAGAGAACATCCTCCATGCTTCACTGATGATTGTATGCACAGAGGTTTTAAGCGATCAGAAGGTTTACACCACACTCCCCTACGTGTGTTTCTACCACTTAGTACGAATTTGAATTAATCGGACCAAATTACTTTATCTAAAAAACGTGGTTGGTACATTTGGATATTGTTTTGAAAACTCTAGTCCTTTTTTCCTACTCGAAATGGAAAACATAGTTAAATTTTTTGCGACATAGTTTTTAAAACCAGATGTTTGTAGTTTTCTTTTCATTGTACATCCAAATCAAAACTTTCAATCAACTCCCGCGATAAAATTTCAAGGGTTTCAGGAGCTTTTCTCGTACAAGTCGCTCAGCGCGTATAGAAATTTTTGTCTTTAGACCTCCACCGTATTGAGTCTTGCATGTCTTTCTTCTCTTGGAGTATTAAAAAAATTTTCTTCTTTCCTCTCTGATCGAAATGGAATACTATATTTTTCCAAAACTAAAATTATACTTTCATTTGACGCGCACGCATAGACTCACCAGGGAGGACTAATCACTCTCGATGTAGTAAATATTTTTTGCGTCCATGCCTAGTGTAAATACTTAGCTTGTAGTACCACCTAGTGAGGGAATTTGAAATTGAGGTAGTTTGGTTTTATTCGTGAAAATACTTAGTAGGGTTACACCTATTTCATTTAATTTTTCTTTTTCTCAAGGTTCTTTCCATATTCTCACTGATTGTATAAGGACTCGGCCCTATAATCCACATAAGGTATTGCTTTCACTCCAACTCAACGGCGAGTGCCACTACCCATAGTAGCGAAGAAAGGATACCTTCTTGATGAGGTTTAAAAAGCTCTTTTTTTATTTTTCACCTAGCTTAATATAGTACAACAACGTTTATCGTATTTTTAAGATGTTGCGAACACTATTTAGCACCGTATCATCCCTATTTTAATATTTCAAAAATACCGCGACGGTTAAAAAAATTAAAGTATGTACAATACATGTTTTAGTTACTAAGTTTCTAATTAAAAACAGGAAGAAAACAAAAAAAAAAAAAAAAAATTTTAACACCGAAGTTTATAACACCCTCCAGAAATAATAATAGTTTTCCATACAAGAATTCGATTTTAATTAGTCAGGTTGAATGGCAGTCACTTGCTATATATAGTGTTTTTATGTGAATAATTTTCTCAGAGATTGTACTGTACACTCTGACAATAGTAGATTCGTGAAGATGTCCTATCAAATTAAAATCTTTTCCATACAACTTAATTTTAATCCTATAGTTTGTACGGCAGCTATATACTATAGTGGTCCGGAAATGATGGTTCCGACAAATAAGAGACGTCTGCAAAATTGCACAGCGATAACTCAGAAACTGAGGAATTCGTTCGCGTATATGCTGTCAGACAAGCCTATAGACATAAGGGCATGCTTAAGTTGAAGTGCTGAACACATAGAGCGCGACAGACTGCAAGGGACATCTGTCAAATATTAAAATACACACGTTCTTAAGGACACAGTTATTTAGACAGCTGCACGACTACACGACTGCAGGCCGTCAGTTGTCGCTCTCGCTAACTTCAAAATGTTCTTAAATTTGCCACTAATATTTAAAATGTAAAACTATTCAAAGCTCTAACGTTATTTTTTTTACGTTATCTACAAATTTGTAATAACAATTGATAATTTAAAAGAAATAAATTTACTTATTTTCTGCATAAAAAATTTCAAAAAATATTAAAGTTTCATTGAAGCGAAGGTATTGTATGGCCACAACGAAATTGTGTACATGCAAAATGAACATCTGTGCAGTTTTGTGTACGTGCCAGCCGTTGTTATGTCGCTGTCTTCATACAAATGTTCATGTAGGAGGATTCACGACGCCATTTGCAGTTCACTGTCGTGCTGCCATGTCGTGTAGCTCTTTATGTGTTCAACACTTGAGTCAGCTCGCTGCGCTAATCAATAATATATGTATATAGCAAGTTAGCAAGGCATCACATCCGATCATTATATAAAAATATATTTCTACATGCCAAAATGAGTATGTTTAAGTACTAGCTGAGTATGCAGGAAAGACAACAGTGTCGCAATATTGGTGCAGTTACTTGCTTGCTCGAACATCCCCTACCCGATATAAAACAGGGTTGTTGTTTTGTGTCTTCCGACTGCCTTAACCCTTAATTAGGCGCAACGAAAAAATCACACAATTAGGCGCATAGGGTCTTGAGTGACCCCAAACAAATATTAGGTAATGAGTGTCGAAAGGAAATAAAATGAAATTAATTTTATAGTAATTAATAAAGTTATTTATTATTATTAACTTTAAGAAACAAAAACATAACTGAAACATTGTACCTAATAAAAAAAATTAAAAAACGCAACTTCTCTTAAAACTATTTTTTGGGCATAGCCGAGATCTAATTAGCCTAAACATTTCTACGCCTGATCCATCTTGTGCCCATAAATAAATAAAGTTCAAGTGCGTCGCTTTTAGGACTCTAGCCATAATTAGTAAGCCCAAAATGCGTTCATTTCGATATCATCTGATGGGAGTGCATCCCAATCTCTTTCAAACTTTGCCTTTATTTGATCTATATACAAATTGGCATTCGTGACCAAAATATCAACAACATCTCTGTCAAAGAATAATTGAAAGCATTCAAGGGGAGATTTGGCGTTCCTTGCACCCTCTTTGACTCCCGGTAAGTGAAGAATAATATTTTGTGCTCAGGTCCTTACTGCGTTAGACGGTGGTACTTTAGACCATTTCACTTTCGGGCCATTTCTCTGAGTATGGTTACCTTCCGATGGTTCGGAGATGTTTTGAATATCTTCGGATTCTTCAATTTCGCTTTCTGAATCATGAGCACTTTTAATAGCAGCATCATTTACCGTTTCGTCTTCCGAATGCGAACCAACTACATCTTGCTCTATATCAGATACTTCGTCCAGCCATTGCAATATTTGCCTTTCGTTAGACATTTCAAATCGGTGAAAAACTAAAAAAAAGAATCAAAATAAACTCAAAAAGAAAAATAATTAACAATATACTAATATAAACTAAAAGAAAACACAAAAGTAAAAACTTACCTCCTCCAAAAAATGTTACATAACTGGTCGCTTGGGGTCAGCGCTCTAGAGAGCAGCGATACGTGCGTACGCGTTGATGTTCGGAACGCGACTAATTTGCGTACCCTGCGCGGAGTGAAGAAGTTAGAAAAAGCGTGAACGCGATCTAACCACTGTAAAATCTTTTTTTTTTTTATTTCAAGTGACCCTGTTTTGTGTCTTCCGACTGCCCCCATGCGCCTAATTAATGGTTAAACTTCGACTTATCGAGGTTTCACTTTACTTTAAGTTACCAGGCAACAAAGTGAACCGTTTCTTTGGTTTCAAATAAATGTATTTACTTAACCCAACAACTTCTTCGAATCGATAAATTTCGAATGCTTTGGCAACAAATTAGTTGAAAGTATTCAAATCAAGCTTTCTAAGAGTGAGTCTGTGTCAACGCTTTATATTTTATAGAAAATTTTTGATACTTGCAAAGCTAGCAAACATTTGTTTTTTAACTTAATCCATCATATTTACACTGAGGAAGTATACTTTTTGAACCAAAATAAAAAAATCAGCAAATTATGTCGCTTGTCTATATAACGCGTCACTATGAGAATATCAAAAACATCGAGAGCTCCGCCGAATATTATCAATTCATGAAAGGCAATTCTACGGTAAAACCTAGACGGTCCTGTAGAAAAAAGGACAAGTCCAGAGCTGTTATAAAATTGTCAGATGGTAAGATTTTACTGACCGATTCTAACAAGAGTGAGCACAAAACAATGGGCTACAGTGCGACACCGCTACGTGAACCATGCGAATTCCTGCGCAAAAATGGTGGCGTCAAGTGGCAAAGAAAACGCGATCACACTTGTCCTAAACGAGATGAGCCGGTACTACCGGTGCCACGCTTGGAAGATCTGAAGAAAGAGAAACGAGACAAGGAGAAGAAAAAAGTGAATTTTATTAAGAAGAACGCGCAGTGCATTAAAAATTCGCCAGCCAAATGGCATTCACCGAAGTATATTGACTTCCATACAGGCACGCCACGTGAATTGAAAAATTCCGGACTAGTTCCACAATATGTTTGTTCGGAAGCATACGGCAAAGTGCCTTGTTACTTGCGTTTGTATAAAAAGCTAGTGACGGATAAACCCGAAGTATGTAAGATGGAACAAGTGCAGCTAGCAGAGCGTTGCAAGTTCAAGGATGCCAGTATTCGTCAGTTACCATTGGAGGAGAGGGATAACATTTTAAAGGTTCAAAGTATAAATATTATTATATATCTTGAACATTTTCTATTCAAATACATTTTTGTTACTTACAGGGTCTTAAGCAGCATTTTAATAATGTCTTCAAAGCTTACCAAGCGGGTTCTTTGTTAATTGACACAATTTCGAAGCGTTTAAGGAAATCGAATTTGGAAAAGGAATTACGTCAATTGGAACACGACATTTTTCTTCTAGAATCTAATCCAATCATATATGTATCTGAATATTAAATTTCAATAAAATGCTTCAACTGTCCAATTTCTGCAAAAGCTAATGTATTAATATTGAAAGAATTCATCTAAGGTTAGCGACATTTCTTATAAACACACAAAGAACTGCCAAATTATTTTGGCGTGTTCGTCGGTCTGTCTGTATATACGCTCGCATGTCCCTCAGATTTAAAGATAACGTTTTGAAATGTTGCACGTGACCTATTCCTTTCAAGAAGCTGCTTATTTGTCAGAAGCGATATCGGGTCACTATAGCTTATAGCTGTCATACAAGCAGAACAACCAAACTTAAGTTTTTGTATTGACAATTATTTTTTATTAATGAACGGTATTACAGCTTCTGTACAATCGAAGTTAACGTTCTTGTTATCACACCTATTAGAATTGACAATTTCAAATCACACACAACTTCAGCATTATTTCAGTTGTGAATGTTTCAAGATTATACGTAAGGATCGCGGTAATGGCGGTTATGGTAGAGGCTTAGCCTTCATACTATAACATTTATTATTTTTGACTATCGCTTTCCATATTTTGGTACTATACAGTACCGCAGTTTGAGCGATTTGGTTGGTGTCGTATCGTATTACTTTGTATCGCATGATATTAATGCATCATGTGATACTTTTTAAACGTGTGGACTGCTAACTAATCTCTCCTGAAATTCAAACGTCATCGTTTAAATCTTTGGGTGTGTTGTTGAATCTGTCGATTGCCGGTTGCGATAATTTAGTTGATTAGTCTACTGTTGGATTTTCATATGGTATTTTCCGAAAAGGTTTGTAGGTGAGCACTATTATGATAAGTAATAAGGATATGCTGGTTACACGTTTTGCTCTATTTGCTTTTTCCAAGTGGCTTCCTTCTTTTGTATTGTCAAAGTTTAGCTGTTTCAGCATCTCCAGAAAGAAGAATTATTCTATATTGCTGGTAATGGTTTACATGATGTCGTTTCTTCGTTTTAGAATATTTTACCTTTGATTTTAACAGTTGCGTTAGTGTACAAAATCATAAATGACACGATTAATGTTGCAAATTCGTTGTTAATATAAATTTCACCACCGAATTTGTTTAAAAAGCGTATTCCTGGGTTGGAATATATTGGATGTTGATATCCGTACAGTTTTAGATGAGTCATTACAATATTTCTTTCTCCTTTCCCTATGTGCTGCCGGCTAGCGAGTTAAGAATTTTGTTGCGACTCTGTATTTTGGCGACAATCGCGGTCGTATGAGGAGTGAAGGAGCACGGAATGTCGAAAGTCACACGTCAAATTAGGGTTAATGACAGTCGGAATCTTAACGCCATCGACCTGCAATATAAAGGTGCACTCCTTCGTCCAGTTTATGAATATGGTCCCTGTAGATTTAGTTGTCGAAGAGATAGCCGTTTACGTCATCATCGTGAATCATAAGCGTATGAGGTGATAAAAGTTTCCTCTGGTGGTTGCGTGAGTTTCAAGATGTAGAAGTTAAACATAAAGGGTAGAGGACACCACCCTACGGAACCTATTCTTTTAAGATATGAGTTCTTATTTCGAAATAGTACGGATGATTTACGACCGCTCAGGTCTTCCATGGTCGAATAGTTTCTGCCCTAGAGGAAGTGTAGATTTTTCGATGTGATACGAATAAGATGGTTTCTGGTTAAGGCCATAAACTACGAGTATATGGGCGTTCATAACGTGAAGTGCTATGCTGGTAATGTTCACTTTTCAGTAACCATACTGGTGAAAGAAAGCTATCGGACGATAGGATTCCCCTTTGTTCCCAAGTTTCAGTAGTGGGACCACTCTTCCACTGACACCCTGAACCTCTTCATTTGTGAAAGTAAGCGGTGCGTAGTCTTTTGGCATTTTGAGTAGCTGTCCGGTAACACATCGTTTGGCTTTGTCTACGGAAGGGTGCAGTATAAATTGCCGGCTAAAAGAAATCGCGGTCCAAAGAGGCATGGAAATAGAATTTAATTTCAACTCGGTCCTCATTCCCCTTCGGATTATTTTACCATTTGCCGAATCTCCAAATTGAGATAACTTATTAGGGATTAGCTAAAACAGCAACTTCACGGAGGTGCTGCGATCACATTTCGAAACTGATACTCGCCAATGATTACGTCCGTAGGAATGGGTAAAGCGGTGAAGGCGCTCTTAGTAAATTCTGTAAAGCCGAGTTAGCTTTGTTCAAGTTACCAACCGTCCACATAAATAAAGTCGGGAGGTTTCTCGATTGATATAACTAGCGAAAATTAATATTTGGTATTGCCACTTGCGAATTTATAAAGTTCGTTTCGCCTCAACTGTCAAAATTTGGCGAACGTTTATTCGATTCGAGAGTATAATTAAAAATGGAGAAAACGTTAGAAAACTTTTTAAAATTTATTTATTGTATTTAATTCGTTACAAATTTAATTATTTTTAGAGTAAAACGAACTACTCAGAAGCAATATGAGGTAATGGTGAAGTTACTGGAAAGAAATCCTGAGTTAGAAAGAGGAATGGCGCGGTTTGGCTCCACAAAAAAAAAAATAGGATGGAGTTGTGGGAAGGTATTGCGGCTGAGTCAAAGAGCCGATATTGGCCCTCCAATACGTAGTGGCAGCGAGTGGAATAAAGTAAGAATAAACAATTTTGATTTATTTATTTATTTGTATTTATTTGTGTATTTCTTAGGTTTGGTTGGACTACAAATTGAAATTAAAAGAAAAGTTTCAGAAAATCGGAAAAAAATGCAAAATTCTAAATTGATTTCAGTTATTTTATTCACCTGCAAAATAACGTATCATCAAAAAATTCAAAACTAGGTGTCTTATTGATTACGCTTCACTACTTCAAATTACATACATAATATTATATGCTATATGTTCAAATTTTCAGGTTCTGCGCTCAGATATAAACCAGTTTTAACCAATATTAAAATTTTTTTCACTCATGTTCCATTTTATTTCGTGTTTCATTACTGTCACTGTAAATTTCCGAAAATTCGTTATTGTTACGTTATTTTGCATTTCAGGTGACGATATACCTACATATTTTACATATATTTTAGGGATGCAACTACACTATGACAATGCATTCGAAATTTGTGTTCGGCGATGATCTGCTGCTGTTCCACTGAAGTTTCCTTCAACTGGTTCCAGTGGTACTACTACATCAACAAAAGTTTCTTGTTCAGGGTCATTTCCATTATATAGTTTGCAAATATTGTGTAAAGGAGAACAAACATTTACTAGGAGGACATGGTAGTTTACGTTCACCTAGTATAAGTTAACTCGAAACGCAAACCACCAAAATACCAAGTCAGCATTGTCTGCCTAACATCGGTTTCAGGCAATGCTGAACATTAACACCACCCCAAACCATGACCAACGGCCCGAGTTATGATCCAACGACAAGCAATAACAAACGATACTCACAAGCTACCGTAGCCGTGGGATCCGCTGGCGCAGCACAAATATAGCGCAAACAAGCGACGACTTACACTACACGCAAGTCGGCGTAATCGTGGGATTCGYTGWCACTGCATCTGACAAAACATAGCAACGACAGCGACGACGGCAGCGCCAGTGAGGACGGCTTAGGCTTAGACTTAAGAGTAAGAATGTTTTAAAGTTTAGTTCTGATCGAGCCTGAATAAAGCGCACTAGTGCCTAAAAATAATTGGCGCCCAACCGGGTAAAGAAGATACGAAGGATTCTCCAGAAAGTAAAAATCACCAAGGTATTTTGCGGTGGAGTGTCTTTAATAACTTCAAAGGACCCAAGGACTCACAGAGAATCGCTATAATCTTTAAAAACGTATCTTAAAAAACATGTTTCGAGTATTGTAAGTAGAGTGCTTATTAAAATAAAAACATTATAATTTCTTTTGAATTAAAACTAATTTTTCAAAATAGACGGAAAGGAATTTATTTTAGAAATATAAATAGCTAAAATTTTGTGAAAATAATTTTCCAGAGTTTAATAAAAAAGAAACAGTGTAGTCTTTTCTCAAAAGCATTGTGTTTAGAAACAGAATTTGTGAAAAAAAATTGTAATAAATAACTGAAATTATCTAGCCTTGTCAACAAAAGAGTGTGATTGATTGATTCCACTATAGTCTGTGTGTGACTCAGAATTAGAAAACCTCTTAGAAAGAATTACTAAACTACAGGTGACTAGTAAAATGGATTCAAATCAGATAACCGCAGTGGTTCAAGCAGCCGTCTCAAGCGCTCTTGAACAACAAAGACAGACTTTCGAGGTTAAGCTCCAACGATTAACGAAGCAAATGACTACATTGACCACTGGTCAAACGCCAAAAATATACCAACCGGTAAAAATATTACCGAACGTAAAGTGGGACGAACCCCTTGATCTGGTAAAATCATTACCAGAATTTGACGGGCAAATCAGTACGTAAGTGTCTTGGCGACAAGCTGTCCACACATCTTACGAAGTTTTCAGAAGTTACCAGGGAAGTTCTAGACACTACCAAGCAGTTGGTATAATTAGAAATAAAATAATTTTGGCATCCTTCAACACTGTTTTAAATTTCGACGCAACGACCGATATATCTAATCAAACAACAATTATCCACGTTACGACAGGGTAACCTGTCTGTGCTTCGATATTTCGACGAGGTTGAGAAAATATTAACTCTCCTCACGAATAAAACCATAGTGACCCATGAGGGTCAAATATCAGAATCAATTTGCGAAAAATATAGAGCGGACGCTTTAAGAGTTTTTATATCAGGCCTTAAAAGACCTTTATGTGACATACTATTTGCCTATCGCCCTAAAGACCTATCTAGCGCTCTGGCATTAGCCCAGGAGGTGGAGTCAAATAGGGAAAGGTACTTATTTGCTTCAAATTTCGCAACGTCTATTGAAGATCAATATAAACTAGGAATAAACAATAATTCGGAGAAAAAGATGCAACAGCAACATAAAATTCCGCATTTTGCAATAGGACTAACAAGCAAGAACAAGTGACCCCCAGGGACGTTGACCCATCGGTTTCAAGACTAAGACAAAATGTAAA